GTCCCGGCGACCAGCAGCTCCCGAGCGGCGGCAGCGCGCGCGGCTGTCGTCGCCGGTCTCGACCGTGGCGGCGGAGGCGCCCTCGGAAGCGTCGTAGTTCGGTGGCGAGAAGGAGAAGGATGAGGGGTAGTTCGACTGCCTAGACCAGTGGTACCTGCTGGCACCCGTGTGCGACCTGGACCCCAGCGCACCGCACAGCAAGATGGTGTTGGGCCTCCGCATGGTGTCCTGGTACGACCGCGCTGTCGACGAGTGCTGCATGTTCGACAACGCGTGCCCGCACCGCCTTGCGCCGCTCTTCGATGGCCGCATAGACGACAAGGCCCGCCTCCAGTGCATCTACCACGGCTGGTGCTTCGACGGCCGCGGCTCCTACCAGTTCATTCCACAGGCCCCTGCCCTCGACCCACCCGTAACCATCGACCCCATCTCCTTCTTCCTCCTTCGGTCGATCACAAAACCAAAACCCAAACCAAAATGTTTCTTCTCTAAATTGCGCAGGTGCACAAGAACAATAAAGCTACAGCTAAAATTCACAACCTATGAGCTGCAAAAAAAATAAACTAACAAGCATGGGCTACAAAAAGGGTAGAATGAGCTACAGAAACTATGAGCTGCAAAAATTCAGAAATTAACACAGTGGGATCCAGTAACTTTAAGTTTATCATAAACTATGAGCTTCAGAAAAAATCAGAGAAGATCCTCCAGAAACTATGAGCTCCAGAAATTTAGAAATAATACAAGGGATCCTGCAGCTTTAAGTCCCTCTGCACGACATAAAAAACCACTGCAAAAATTCAGCAAGCACAACTAAAATATCGAACCTGAAACTCAGTAAAATTCAGCAGCACAACTTAAAAACCGAACGCGAATCAATCTTTGGTTGAGTTGGTTAGGTAGACAGTGGTATCCTCAACCCATCGGGGTTCAAATCCTGATGCTCGCATTATTCCTGGATTTATTTCAGGATTTCCGGCGATGCGCTTTCAGTGGGAGGAGACGTTCCCGTCGACGACGAGGCGCCTACGGTGACTTCATAAATCTCAAGATGATATGCCGGCTCAGTCTCTCGGAGATGCTCATATGGATAGGGTGTGCGTGTGTGCGTTCATAGGGATGAGTGTATGCGCGTGTATATAAGCGCTTGTATCTGTACTGATGCTTAAAAAAACTTAAAACCCGAACTCAATAAAATTCAGCAGCACATCTAAAAAACCTAAAACTCATCGGAACAATTCAGAAAAGGCACGGACTTTGCTCACATGTGCCCAGCAAAAAGCATGTTTATCTGCAAAAATCATGTAAAAAATTCCTGCAGCACATCCAAATCCAGCTTCACATCAAACATCACTAGCTCTACTCCGCAGACGATGCCCTACACCTACACCGCGACCGCTCTCTACAACGCCGTCAAACTACCTACATCGACGACCACTCTCCAGCAAACCAGTCGTCGTTATCTCGATGGATATGCCACCCCTATGGATTGAGCCGCCCCGTAGATAACCGCCATGAACGCCTATAAATCGTCAGAAATACAGGGGAAAGGGGAGGAGGGGATCTCAGATCCATACCTGCTAGAGTCGATGCCGGCCACCGTTGAACCTGTCGCCGTCGCCACCGCACTGGATATGCCCTGGTCGCCCAACGCCCTGCACCGCCGCCCTCACAAATCTAGAAGCGGACACAAGTCGATGGAGCTGCCAGTTGCATGAATGCTTGTCCTGTAACAAGGGCTCTGTTTCAGAAAATGGACACGCATGACGCGGAAGCGGGGACGCTCTCATCCGTCTGATCAACAGACGATCCGACGGATGCGGAGCCAACAGAAACGGAGCCCGTGGATGGACACACACGTGATCGGTCGGCTGAAGGTAAGCTTTTCCGTTTTACTCCCTCCGTTCCAAAATAGATGACTCAATTTTATACTAAATTAATACAAAGTTGAGTCATCTATTTTGGAACGGAGGGAGTAGATTTTACTGTTCCTTTTGCCTCGGACCTACACTAGCGGTATGGCTGGCAGTCCACGCGTTCTGCACTTGGCGGTAGAGACGTGGCGATAAGTCGTACCGGCGAACCGCAGCCGCAATCGCGCGCGCGCGCATCCCTCATTCCCTCCCTCCCGCGCGCACTCCCCACAGCCACAGGTTCTTCCCCCGCCGTCGGCCGCCGCGGGATCAGACGACGCGCCATGGATTCCCTCTCCCTCCTCGTCCCCCGCGCGCGCCCTTCGCTCCCGCTCCCGCTCCCGCTCCGCGCCGCCGCCCCGGCCACCAGCAGCGCCAGAGCGGCGGCACCGGCCCCGCGACGGTGGCGGCAGCGCGCGCGGCTGTCGTCGCCGGTCTCGGCCGTGGCGGCAGAGGCGCCCTCGGCAGCGTCGCTGATTGATGGCGAGGAGAAGGAGAAGGAGGAGGGGCAGTTCGACTGGCTGGACCAGTGGTACCCGCTGGCCCCCGTGTGCGACCTGGACCCCGGCGCGCCGCACGGCAAGACGGTGCTGGGCCTCCGCGTGGTGGCCTGGTACGACCGCGCCGTGGACGAGTGGCGCGTGTTCGACGACGCCTGCCCGCACCGCCTGGCGCCGCTCTCCGAGGGCCGCATCGACGACAAGGGCCGCCTCCAGTGCGTCTACCACGGCTGGTGCTTCGACGGCCGCGGCGCCTGCCAGTTCATCCCACAGGCCCCCGCCCTCGGCCCACCTGTCTGTAACCATCCATCCATTCTCCTTCTTCCTCCGTTCGATCACAAAACCAAAACCAAAACCGAAATGTTTTCTTCTCTGAATTGCGCGGCGCAGGTGCACAAGAACAGCAAGGCGTGCGTGGCGTCGTACCCGAGCGTGGTGCAGAACAACATCCTGTGGTTCTACCCGAGGGCCGACGAGGAGCACCGGGACGTGTTGCAGAGGAAGCGCCCGCCATTCATCCCGGAGATCGACGACCCCTCCTTCGTCACCGTCTACGGCGTCAGGGACCTCCCCTACGGGTACACATCCTCAACCTCGACCTCCATATATGCGGGCGGCTGCCTCCCTCCATTGCACAGTCTCACAGTCACAGCTCCGTTGGTTTGCAGCTACGATGTGCTGGTGGAGAACCTCATGGACCCTGCCCACGTCCCCTACGCGCACAAGGGGCTGATGGGCAAGCTTCGCAAGAAGGAAGATCCCGGAAGATAAGCCCCTGCACAGCTGCCCTGACATGACCGGCGCTGTCGAGTTCAGTTCACACTGTCACTTAATGGGAGTGTTGATTCAGTTGTTCTTCTCTTCACAGTTGAGTTCGACATCGAAGGCGGAGGGCCAGTGAAGATGAAGATAGAGGAGGCGAACATCGCCGGGTTCCTGTCGGAGCAGGACAATAGCGGATACTTCCGGTACGTCGCGCCGTGCACCTTCTACGGCTCGCCCCTCCCCAAAGAGGAAAAGGGAGAGGTATGAATCGGTTGATTGGGCAGACACATTTTTCCATTGCTGCCGGTGCAAGCGGAACTTGCAGCGCTTCAGAGGAGAACAAACAGGGGTTGTTCAGAAGTTGACAGTTCATGCTTTGGTTTTGGGCAGGAGAAGAAGAAGAAGCCGCCTCAGTTCATGCTGGTGTTCATGTGCGTCCCGGTGTCTCCAGGGAAAAGCAGGGTGATCTGGGCGTTCCCGAGGAACGTCGGCGTCTGGCTCGACAAGGTCATACCGCGGTGGTACTACCACATCGGCCAGAACGCCATCCTGGACTCAGACATCTACCTGCTCCATATCGAGGTGATGATTCTTCAGCTCAAGCTCAGTAATTCTGAATTTCAGAGCCTTGTCCAGGATATGGAGCTCAAGCAGCAAGTAAACCCACTGTTCTTCCTTCATTTAGGAGCGCAACTTTGCCGCGGCGGGTGTTGAAAACTGGCAGAAAGCCGTGTACGTGCCGACGTCGTCGGACAACATGGTGATCGCCTTCAGGAACTGGTTCAGAAAGCACTGCAAGAGCCAGGTCGGCTGGGCCGCCCCAACAATAGGTCAGCTACCAGAGACTCCAACCAAAGACAAGCTCATGGAGAGGTACAGATAATGCAACATTCTAACTCTTCTCCACGCCAAACCTGAATACCTGAGAATTCAGTGAACCCCACCTGAACGAATTTTGCGATGGCGTCCACAGGTACTGGTCACACGTCGCGCAGTGCAGGAGCTGCAGCGCGGCGCTGAAGACCATGAAGGCATTGGAGGTTGCCCTTCAGGTCGCGTCGGTGGCTGTCGTCGGGTTCCTCGCCGTCGCCAAGGGGACGCTGGTGACGTCGGTCGTGCAGAGAGCCGCCGTCGTGTCCTTGGCCGTGCTGTGCTTCGCTGCATCCCGCTGGCTCGCGAGCTTCATCGAGAAGAATTTCTATTTCCAGGATTACGTCCATGCCTACAAGTGAAGGCCATAATCCTGCGCCTTCCGTTGCTAGGGTTTTGTAGCTCCTGACTCGATGCAGCTTTAGAAAGTGTACATGAAGCACATTGCTTTACTTGATACCGATAGTAGCTGTATATAAAGCAACTAGTTTTTCCTTTTCAAACCAAAACCGGCTTCCGATTTTCATTCAAATCCAGTGCATAAATGCTAAATGCGTGACAAAAGGAAATTAAGAATTTTGTATCAAGTACCAGGTGCTATTACCAGGCAAATCGAGAAACTTGTTGCCGCAAAACCATACAAGGAACAACAATATAACTTCTTATTCATATATGATTGGCGTTTTGCACAGCACATCCCAGTATTATTTCACTTCACAAAACTACCAAGTTATAAAAGGGCAACACATCTTAATGTCAGCGTGTACATCGCTTCCCCAAAACATATCTATAAGAACAAAAATGTGTTGTTTGTTACTGAATTCCTGGTAAAACTGGATGCCTTTTTTGAGGAGGCAGATTCAGAATTATGTCTATGGCCTAGCAAACTTATCTAAGAAGGTGAGTACAAGTCGAAGCCCAATTTCGGAGAACAAAGCACCATATGACACAACCCTTAGGCCCTGAAATAGAAAACAGTTTCAGTGAATTTTTACCAAGAACTTAGCTACCAAAGTACAGACGACCCGCACCATTCATGTTCAGAACAATACAGCTTTCTGGGTAATTAAGATTTCCATCAACTTACCTAGTCATATATGAATCATCCACAGTACTAACAATGATGTTCTCACCCACTTCAACAAAAGGCGGGGCCTACGATTGGCAAAAAGTTGATGCAAGTGAGAAATACTTCAAGCTGCAGGACTATATCAAATTTCTTGGTTTCTAATTTTAATATTGATAATTAGGAGATTGCAAAACAATGAATGGATAAAAAAAGATGGCTTTTCCATACACCATTCCATAAAGGTCTATGTGAATATACTCTATGAAATGGTACCATCAACTTACAAGTACTGTAAGGCCATTATCCAGCAAGACCCTCTTATATCTGCATTTAGTACAAACACAAGTTTAGTTACCGCATAACACCAAGCCTCAAACAATTGATGATAAGAGATGATGAAGCTGATCAAAGGGGAATCTGCAATGCGCATGTGCATGGATACAATTCCATAGTTCATGAACTACTGTTTACTGCTTTTGCAGGGATTTTTGTTATGAAACTAGCTAACCTGTTGTTATAGTTCTGCTGCATGTAACTCATAACTACTCCCTCCGTTTCCAAATATAAGCCTTTTTAGAGATTCATTACGGACTACATATGGATGTATATAGACGTATTTTAGAGTGTAGATTCACTCATTTTGCTCCGTATGTAGTCCATATCGGAATCTCTAAAAAGGCTTATATTTAGGAACGGAGGGAGTACACAATTAACTTTCAAGTTTCTTCTCTGCGCATACAATTATCCATCAGGTATGTTCACTCCAGACAAAATATCACATTATGGTTAGAACACTATCACTCACTCCAAGCAATATATGCACCAATAATATGAAACATATTACTCTATTACCATAACTTCATTGCCGATCATTTGACAAGAGTGCTTATTTTGAGCCACAAAATATGAGAAGTACCCAGTGTATCCACTTGGAGTTGACTTACTAATACTCAACCCATAAAAGGTATTGGAACAATGAATAACCCAAAAACTCATCAATACATAATAAACAAATGTTGCAGAAATAAGAATTAATTTGATGATGGAAGTAATATGAAACTCACTGAGGTGTAGCAGTTAGGCCTTTTGCATTAGGCTGTGCTTCAACAACAGTGCAAGTCACACGAGGAGGCACTGAGCCAGACAACGCTCGGCCATCAAAAAATTGTAGAGTTACCTTCATCTCATCTGAAAAAATATGATATTGGAAATTTGAGTTAAATGGTCTCAATCAAAATTTACTTTAACCATTGTATTTATTTCGATGAGATCAAATACATTTAAAACCATTTTGACAATGAGCAGAAGATATCAACATCGAGCGAGTCATGTACACTATCAGTGCAGGAGTGAGCGAGCCTCTTAGGTGCTGACGTCTTTATTGTTGCCACCAAATTAAGAAAAATGCACGTGTATCGGATATGTTTGGGCCCGCTAATACATGGCATATATACAGATCAAAATTATTTGTAAGGTAAAACTTAAGTGTCCCACACATTATATTCATCGGAATTGATAATTTTGTCCACTGTGATCATTTAAAACTAACTACTATGTCTACAGCAGCACTAACTTGCATATATGAGAGCTACAGGCACAAAAGTAAACAAGTCATCTAACTATTCAAAAGGTAAAACACAAGCACGTTCTTATAATCTAGTATTCATAGCAATTGGTGTTCTTCTGGTTGTCAATTAATACTGTTCGGACCTTTCAGATATGCAGCGTTTTTGCCAAACAGTTCCTTTGAAACCTCGAGTTGCTCAAACGTGTTAGGCCTGACAAAAAAAAGGGTTCCAGATGAAGTCATTACTACATGGATGTTAATGAGGGAATGACAAGAAAACAGGGAAATAAGCATACTCCATAAGTGCCACGTTGTCTCCTTCCTGATACAGATATGTGAAAGGCTTATCCTCAACAAAAACTCCTGAATGTGTAAAGAAAATACATAATGATTAGATTTCCATTATGAACACGACTGTACGCTTTCCAAATACAAATAACCAAACTACTGTTATCAACTTATCATGACTGTGCCTTACGAAATTCCCACTGGACTAGATATTACTGGAAGAAAGTTGGGTAGCCAGGAGTTTCTCAAAAGCAGGTTAATTTGGCCACCTTCTGGCAAAACCTAGTTCCATACGGCGCCACCTTCTTTTTTCTTCAATTATTATTGATATTAATATATGATGCATTTATGTGCAAAACTAATGTCAAATGTCACCCAAATCTTGGCAAATAAATGATACATATCAATAATAATTTATATTTAATTGGAGAGGCTCATAGTCGTGATTGATATATGAGGTGCTGATTGTAATACTCCTAAAAGGCTGGTTAACGCATCCAGCTTCTATAATCATTATCGTTATTTGAGTTTATTGTAGATGGTCATCATCTGAACTTTGTTTGGTACCTTCAGTGCGGCTAACACTGCTCGAGTATTGACACATGTATGATTGAATGCAATAAAACACACTAGAAGAAATTATTGCTTAGCTTCGTAAGATGTAACCAGAAAAAGGGAAGAGAAGGCTATGAAAAATTGCACAGGAGCACGTTTTAACAAGGACAGGGTACAAATAGCTACAGAAAGGAAACCAGACTAAAACATAGAAGCCTATAACTTTAGTCCTAGAATGCCTTTTGTGTGGGGAAGGAGTGTTCGTACTCTCAAGAGCCTCGTCGGTACGAAATCTTTCAACTATTTTGTTACCAGTGTCAACATCCCTCAGTTCCACCTGCAGCAATCAAGAGTTGAGAATAAAATTCAGATTGTAATGAAACAAATGACAAATTTAAGCTCCAGTTAAGTCAAGCACATATAAAAAAACATCCACCTGAACTTAGTTTTCGTCATTTGAGGGGACATCTTGCATGGAACTGCAGGCATGCCATTGGGGCAACAGTGCATCAAACTATTCATATGTATTTCTTGGTGCCTAGCTGTTTATTTCACTGTCCTTGTTATTACTCATTTACAAGTTATTCCAAAGTTATATTTTCGTTGTTGGCATGTCCTGTTGCTGTTGCTAAAATAGGTAGTCTAAGATGAGAGCATTTTGTGTGATTGGGTCTGATAATATAGATGCAAGGAAAAATCCGGCAAGTAACAAGACCAACATTAGCTTGCCATCATGTGAAGTATGCAGAGTTAAGTGGTGCAACAGATTGAAAGAAACAAACAAAATAAATGACCTGTATTGTGGCTCCTCCTCTTCCTTGGTGTGAATGATGCGATTTTATCACCTGAACAGAAGACATTCAACTCAGAAATGATAAGAGTGATTGCTCTTACTTAGTAGACCAGAAACACAGGTGAATATAAACCAGAAAGCTTGAGGAAATATGGAGGGACATAGGACATGAAAAGCAGTTAAACGCACCTGATAAATGCGGCCTTGATTTAAGGTTGGCCCAAAAGATGGATAAGTAGTAATCCACGATACTTGGAAGTAAAAAACAAAACACTAAAGATGTAATCAGCTAATCACACACCTTTTCTCTGTATCACATTTCCAAGTTTCACCTACACATATGAGGATATCTCAAGTCAATGCAAGCATCGTTATGCGCTTTCACAAAGATTAATAAAATAATAGAAGTGAAAAGGCATTAGCAAAATTAAGACCCAGGATATAATCAAGATGTCATTAAAAATGTACACCAGAAGGTTTGCAGTTATTTTTAGGACCATTGGAAAGCTGGAAGCCTCCCTGCTAACTACAACTGTAGAAAACAACTTCAATAACAACTTCTAAATGTACCATCCATGTCAAGCCGATAGACCAAATACTAATTAACTCGGCTAAATCTAGGTTGGAATATGCTACTGGCTACACGTTCTGCACAAGTTGCAATATGACTGTTGGTCGCACGGGGAATTCACACCACGATTTTGTGGATGCAAAAGTAGAACATACAATTTGAGCATTCCACAACAAACACAAAATAATTGCAAAAGGCTTTCCATGACATTTGTTCGATCGCTAGTGAACATATCAATGGAACCACAGAACAAAATAGCAAGGAACTGCTCCGCCTGCCAAGCGAATTCTCCCACAAATTCGCTACGAACTGAACAGAGCAGCAGGAGCCATAACAGTGCACGAGCTTAGCATAACCCTATCTAAACCCTGTGCGGCCACGGGCCAAGCGAGCAGACGCGAGAGCGAGGGGGCAGAAGGGGGATTACGTCGGAGCCGAGCATCTTCGCGCCGCGGCGCTGCGTGGCGGCCCACGGCGTGGTGGCGAGGGAGCCGGTGGACGGATCCCGCCGGGCGGCGGAGAGGGTGGCGACGGCATGGGCGTGTGCGTGGGCGGCGGGAGGTGGAGAGTGGAGGAGGGAGGAGAGGCGGCAGGAAGCTTCGAGAAGGTTCCGACGGAGGATCTGCATCGCGAGGTCAGGCTGGGTGGTTCGCCGTCTGCACTTTCCCGGCGCCGGTAGGTTTGGAAAAAAAAATTGAGACAAAAGTAGGTTTGGAATGGGCACAGGGTGACCTCGGATTGGGCCCGGGCCGTGGTCCGGGCGGGCCTAAGATGTGGGCTGAAGGTGCGCCCGGAATGGAAAATGTGCCATTTTATCTCTTTTGTGGTGGAGGATCAGGTTTGCATTTACATTTCAGTTTTTAAAAGCTTTGCATTTGCAAATTCACCTTTTTAAGGCACTGCATGTTTTCTAGGTCAATTTTTTGCATGCTTAGTGGGAGGAAAGGAAGAACATAAGACAAAAGTTATTGAAGAAATACCTACCAAACATTTGGCGAAAGGTCTTATGGAACAAATATATCTCTACTACTATAGTACACCAATTTTCAAATTTAGATTAGCTGCCCACAGTGATGCAGAAGCATCTGTTAGCCGTTGATTCTTCCACGGGATGAATCCGTGCCACTTATCAATGTTGAAGCCAACTTATCTGACGGTCATGGTTTCTGGGATTCGCTTCGCACAACCGCGCGCCAAAACGAGTTCGATGGATCTTTCTAGAGTTATAAACGCAGCTGGCGTCTGACCAACCTGACACTTGCTCGAAAACTTTCACGTGAGCAGCAACCGAGCTAGCTTTACATTGGGAACCGGCCCTATTAGACAAAATGTAGTACTACTGGAGTGTAGCCTAGAAGCCTACAAGTGTGCACTTTGAGGGTACCGGTCTATAGGAATTTGCTCCTCGCATGAATACTGTTGAATGCATGCACGGAAGCATTTTTTTTTAAAGAATTAGTATGCTGTTGAAAAAATTGTACGCATGTCAATATTTCATTCATTTCATAATGGAGCGTGGATAGTTTTTTTAAAAGTCAAAATTTTTAAACTTTGACCAAGTTTATAGAAAAAATATTTATATCTACAATACCAAAAATATAAAAATATGGAATACATCTTACGATGAAGCTAATGATATATGCTTGGAATTCTAGATATAAATGTTTTTCTTTACAAACTTGGTCAAAGTTTGTGAGGATTGACTTTTTTCAAAAAATATATACGCACTATATTATGGAACGAAACGAGTATTGTTGTTTGTTAAGAGAATTATTCAAACAACTTATAGAAAATTCAGATTTAGATTTTAATTTATTTTTCTTCATCGGATGTTAAGTTATTTAAAGTTTACTGTTTGAAATGGTGAAAATTAACATCAAACTAACTTTATTTGTATTTTCAAGTTGGAACATGAAAAAGCTAAAAGATTTCACAAACACGTCAATAACATTTCTTTTGGAATAGGAGTATGTTTTTCAAAACATTCTTCATATAGAAATCCGTTGTGCTACCGTGATTCAAGACGAATTGTAAAAAAATCCAGAAGTTACCATTTGATTATAGCACAGAATATTCAATTTTTAATTTACATGATTTAGTATTATGGTCACACATAATAATCTAACGTGCAAAGCACGTACAAATTACTAGTAATCTATAATACCTAAATAGGTCATCCCCACTAACCTAATGAGCACGCAACTAGAAGAAGAAGAGAGGACCATTATGATGAAAAAAATAGAGGTACATGAAGAAAGCGGTGGAGAAGAAGCGACAAAGGGGGGTGTATATAAGTGATTGGCGACAATGGCCACCAAAAGTGTTAACATACGGAAGCAGGACAACATACACCCTAACGGATTAGATGGGTGGTTGATTAGGAAACCAACGCCCCGATTAAGAAACTAAGTAGAATTCAAGCACAGAGGAGGGAGTGGACAACACGACAGTGTTTAAGTTAGAGAGATGAAAACACAGTAGGAGAACACACGAAAGATTCAAAGAAGGGTGAGCGGACGGTCAAGTGTAAAAGGAAGACTATTAGTTGAGGAAGATGGGTATGGTGGACTAGTTAGCTCTCTAGTCCTATGACGCGTATGAGTCACGCCTTAAAATGTTGAGAGAAACTTGTTACAAATTTTAAATATAACTTTAAAATGACAATACTACATAAAAAGGCTAGAGATCCTATGATCATTCTCCAAAGAAAAAGATATACCAATAATCTGGATGAATTTTGAAGTCATCAGAAACCTTCTTCTCCACTATCTAAAAGAACCTAAGGTTCCCTTTCCTGCCAAGAGGATGATGCCTTGCACATTGTTTCATTCAAACTCACACCCAAATTCCCACCTCCATCCAAGCCTAAAAAAAGTCCAATCCATCGATTTATCATTGTCCCACCACCAGCCGATTTGGCAATATTTAATCACCATAATTTACTTTCCCTTCTCCACCCAACCATGACGTTACTTTCCCTTTCCCCCCTCCCATGAATCACACCGTAATTTCATCCTTCCATCCAGTAAACGAGCCAAAACAAATTTCCAATCGTTGGTGCTTCCCGTGTGTCTCCATGGCATATAAGGCGATCACCCATTTCCTTAGTACTTTTGAGACCCACCTTTGTCCTTCTAGCTAATATGTACATGTCTCCAAGCTAACGCAATGGTGATCCGATACAGTCTCGGTCGCCCGGCTCAAAGAGGGTGATGGCACCACCACCTATCTCGGCTCCTGTCGTGTGGCCTCCTCCGATCAACAGGCAACTTGTTCCATTTCCTGCATCAAAAATTTTATGTCATATGTCTCGGGAAAAATGGTTTAGATGATGCATGTATAATTATGTTTTCCCGTTTCTCCTTTAACCAGTGTAGGGATGTTAGATTCCACAATGTTGAAACCGTGCACATATACAACAGATTTTGGGAGACAACGACAAAAATTCTTTCCAGCTGAATCAAGCAAAAACTAGAAGTGGAGATGTAATCTACTGCGCCATCCTTGCCGACCTAGATGAGAGAAACATGTACAACACCAGTACCCAAATTACCGTGGTAACTAAAGTACTGATTCATCTATCCTTGCTCAAACAATGTTGGCTATTTCGAAGGGAACCAAAATGGAGGCAACTGCTTCTGAGCAGCACACAGATCATTTCAACGAAAGCATGCAGACCGACAAAGTATACTTATTTAGGAATGTGGGGTTCGAAATGCGTGAAATGCCACCCCCAATTCTATTGACCATATACCAACCCCCTATTACATCATTCTACATGGACAGACCGATGTGCATCTTGCTAGATCGCACATTTTTGTGCCTAGGCTGCCTCCGCGATTCATGGATTTGGGTGATGTCAACCGACTCAGGAACATAATGCTCGCAGGTAAATTCTATTGAGGCTCATTCCTTGTGGATATCATTGTTTTGTCATGCTATTTTTTTCTAGATGTCATTGGGTTGGTTGTCCATGTCGGTCCCTTTATGCTCCAAGATTCTTCCCACCATACTGCATGCCTAGATGTCACTTTAATGGACACATGGTATGGCAAAATAACCGCATATGTTAACTACTTTTGATTGACTTTGGATTGATGTTCTCGAACTTAACAAGTCGGGAGTTCAACTTTCTGCACGTCTGGGACCAACATGTGGCACGTCACCTAACATAGTGGAGACATGTCGAACAGGAAATGCGGACTTTAGCTGCCACACCCCTGAAGGTTAACACAGAAAATGTGCGTCCTTATGGATGTGACATTATGGACTAATGACGTTACCATGGCTATGTAACATCATATTGTTCTTATGTTAAAAAAACATCATATTGTTGTTGAATTGTTGTTTTTAGGGGGCATGAAAACAATTATATGAAAGTCATATTGTTTTTGAGCCATGCAATCAGCAGGGGGATGAGCTAGGCGCTTATCAGGCAAGGCTCAACACAACTCGAAGGTCCATCCAAAGGCAGGTCAGATCAGTTGTGTGACAGATGAAAATTCACAAGGAGGCCAATCTTCGACTTATGAGGCTCTAGCCAGTGGCGGACCTTGATGAAGATTGTTGAGGGGGTAATCGGATTTAAGGGGGCGAAGAAGATAAGTTATGTATGAACTCTGAGAAATCCGGAATAATCAAGGCTAATAATTAGGGATGCACTCAAGAGTTTTCTTGGGGGGGGGGCAATGGCCCTTTAGCCCCATGAAGCTCCGTGATTGGCTGTAGCACGATGAACTTGTAGCTGCCAATGTTGAGAGTCCATTGAGATTTCTATTTTTACTAGTTTGATCGTAATAATGATGACTAGATTCGACTTTTACGGTGTTTGCGTCGACTAGGTAATTGGTCGTCCTTTGCAACGGGATTGATCCACTATATGCCCTTCAAATTCTACATCAAGCGACATTTTTGACTTTTTTACCATTGAATCACTAGTCTACCTACATCTCTCTCCCCCACTACGCTGTCTATCTCTCCCTGCTTCCTCTCTCCTATGAATTTGTTGGTGAACGTTGCAGAAAACAAAAATTTTCCTACTCGTTTCACCAAGATCATCTAGGAGTTCATCTAGCAACGAGTGATTAGATGCATCTACATACCTTTGTAGATCGCGCACGGAAGCGTTCAAAAGAACGGTGATGATGTAGTCGTACTCGACGTGATCCAAATCACCGATGACCAGCGCCGAACGGACGGCACCTCCGCGTTCAACACACGTATGGGACGGGAGACGTCTCCTCCTTCTTGATCCAGCAAGAGGGAAGGAGAGGTTGATGAAGATCCAGCAGCACGACGGCGTGGTAGTGGATGCAGGGCGTCACAGCAGCAGGGCTTCGCCGAGACTACGAGGGAGAGACGTAACGGGGGGAGATAGAGGCGCCAGGGGCTGGTGTGAAATCCCTCCTCTCCCCCCCCACTATATATAGGGGTGCCAGGGGGGGCGCCGGCCCTAGTAGATGAGATCTACTAGGGGGGGAGGCGGCCAAGGGGAGGTTTCCCTCCCCCCCAAGGCACCTAGGGGTGCCTTCCACCACATGGACTCTTCCATGGTGGAAACCCTAGGCGCATGGGCCTATAGGGGCTGGTGCCCTTGGCCCATCTAGGCCAAGGCGCACCCCCTACAGCCCATGTGGCCCCCCCGGACAGGTGGCCCCACCCGGTGGACCCCCGGGACCCTTCCGGTGGTCCCGGTACAATACCGATAACCCCGAAACTTGTCCCGATGCCCGAAATAGCACTTCCTATATATAATTCTTTACCTCCGGACCATTGCGGAACTCCTCGTGACGTCCGGGATCTCATCCGGGACTCCGAACAACATTCGGGTTTCTGCATATACATATCTTCATAACCCTAGCGTCACCGAACCTTAAGTGTGTAGACCCTACGGGTTCGGGAGACAAGCAGACATGACCGAGACGACTCTCCGGTCAATAACCAACAGCGGGATCTGGATACCCATGTTGGCTCCCACATGCTCCACGATGATCTCATCGGATGAACCACGATGTCGAGGATTCAATCAATCCCGTACGCTATTCCCTTTGTCTATCGATATGTTACTTGCCCGAGATTCGATCGTCGGTATCCCAATACCTCGTTCAATCTCGTTACCGGCAAGTCACTTTACTCGTACCGTAATGCATGATCCCGTGACCAGACACTTGGTCACTCTGAGCTCATTATGATGATGCATTACCGAGTGGGCCCAGTGATACCTCTCCGTCATACGGAGTGACAAATCCCAGTCTTGATCCATGTCACCCAATAGACACTTTCGGAGATACCCGTAGTCTACCTTTATAGTCACCCAGTTACGTTGTGACGTTTGGCATACCCAAAGCACTCCTACGGTATCCGGGAGTTACACGATCTCATGGTCTAAGGAAAAGATACTTTGACATTGGAAAACTCTAGCAAACGAACTATACGATCTTGTGCTATGTTTAAGATTGGGTCTTGTCCATCACATCATTCTCCCAATGATGTGATCTCGTTATCAATGACATCCAGTGTCCATAGTCAGGAAACCATGACTATCTGTTGATCAACGAGCTAGTCAACTAGAGGCTCACTAGGGACATGTTGGTGTCTGTTATTCACACATGTATTACGATTTCCGGATAACACAATTATAGCATGAATAAAGACAATTATCATGAACAAGGAAATATAATAATAATGCTTTTATTATTGCCTCTAGGGCATATTTCCAACAGAATTAACTTAATTTCCTCTCTAATGTCTCTATTTTCTATCTAAGAAGAATATAATGTTTTATGTTTCACTTTTCTTTCAACCAACCCTTTGTCCACGCTTCCCTGTATGATATCAATCCCCCCGTACTGTGCGTTAGGCACATTACGAAACCAAATTATCCCAAAACACTTAGGCATGAAGCATTAACTCCTCACCTCATTTCACATTTATTGTCGCGAAAAAGGAATTATCCAATAGAAGATGTGGGATGTGTGTCTTTAGTGACTTGAGACTAGCCAGCACGACATGCACTGGTCTGTTGTTTGCATGTAATGGTATTAATTAGCAAATTAACATCATTTTTTTCTCATTTTTCTCTCCGTCTTGGTCACCCCACACCACCTGAGAGCAAACACGATAAGGCTGACCATAGTGGTGGTATCTTAGCTAGTATCATGTACTCGGGACTAGCAAATATGTTGATGCGGGAAACAATTAAAGAAGATAGAGAGAGGGTAGGTAGATACCGTATCATAATAAATGTTATGCTATTATGTATCATGCATGACAATAAATAATATCATCTATGGTACTAATATATGATATTATGCACTATAAAGGTAGCGTCATACTCCCTCCGTTCCTTTTTGCTCCGCATATAAGATTTGTGTCGAGTCAAACTTTACAAAACATTGACCAAATTTGTATAAAAAATATCAACATCTAAAATACCTAATATACATAATATGAAATTACATTCCATAATGAATCTAAATATATTCCTTTGGCCTTATAAATATTGATACTTTTTTTCTATAATTTTGGTCAAAATAGAGATACTTTGACTTCAGACAAAAGTTATATGCTGACTAAAAAGAAACATAAGGGAGCACACTATAGTATATGTATGATAGTAGTATATGATACTCCCCAGTACGAATAGCCTAAGGTGACATAAGCAAACTATAAGGACTAAAATATTATCTCTTTACTTAGTTGGAGGAGCGAGAAGAAGAGAAACAAGTTCTAAGCAAGGGCATGTCCAGTGCATAGCCCCAGGATGATGCCCCATAGACCATGTAGGATCGGATGCCAGGAAAAATAGGTTCGAATGGAGCAGCGGGATCCTCTGCAGGAGGTGGATGCTTGGAAAGAAAAAAATATGGTCCGATGCATAAAGTTAAAAAAAAATTAAAGTAGCGAGTAGAGATGCATGTGTGGGATTTTTTATTTTCTATTCTTTGATGAAGCCCACTCATAGTAGCTTGCATTGGTTGAGAAAAAGAAAATCAATGCAGGGCCTGAAGGTACTTTCTGCAACCGTATCTATATGCCACCATAATCCATGCCCGTAGTAGCCGGCTGCAGCACGAGCCCCAAAACACTTTATAAGATTGTAAGGCGGGTCACCTCTTTATAAAGTACTCCCTTCGTCTCATAATATAAGAGTGTTTTTGACATTACATTAGTGTTGAAAATGCCTTTGTATTATGAGATGGAGGGAGTAATATATATTCAAAATTTATTATTGTACATATCGGCTATTAGGCTACTCTATATAACATGCCAAGTGTTGTCTATATTATCAATCATGCTCCGAGATGCCTAATGCACTGATAGAGGGAGTAGAATATTTATATCCCGTTTCAACTGGCATTGTTCAAAGCAGAAATCACGAGAAAACTACAGTGGATGAGCCAGAGCCGCTGACAGCCGGGCCCAACGGCCCCTACGTGACACGTGAGGCCGAGCAACCGGACCCAGGCCAGCACGTACTCGCCACAACCACCAAGTGCCAGCCACGTCACCTCCCGTACGCCCAAAATAGGCTCGTGGCAAATCTGGTCTACCAGTCGCCCGCCCCCCACCCACCCCGCCCACGGAGAAAATTCCCCCAGGAAGAAGAAATTCCAGGCTGCTGCCATTCCGACGATGCGCCGCGCCGCCGTCGCCGTCACCGCCGCGCTCCTCCTCCTCCTCGTCGCCGGCGCAGCCGCGGGGTCCCCCGGCGCGGAGCCCACCTGCCCGCGGGGGCCCGGCCCGACGTTCCTCGACGCGCTCGGATCGCGCTGCCCCCGCGCCGCCCGGATCGTGCCCTCCCGGCCCCTCGAGGTAGCCGCCTCCTCCCCTCTCCGCCGCCTGTCCGCGACCCAGCCCGACCCCGGTCCTCGTGCCCTGCGTCATACATAGCCCCGACCCCGAGATTCATTCCGCGCGCCATATTCTCCTCACCGACGGGATGTTTTGGTCACAACACAATGCGGCCGTAGGGTATTTTGAATCGCTGACGCGGCGGGTGATTAGGTTTTGAAGCGGGGCGACGTTAGAGGGGGATTTTGGTACAGAGGGTGGGGTGTGTGTCGGGAGGGATACTCGTGGCAGGAATGATGTGAATTGCAATGCGTTGGTGGGTGCATAGTATCATTCAATTATCAGGAGCAGACAAAACATGGGTGGCTCAGGCGAAGGAGAACAATCGAGGCGCGTCGGTGCTGCGGTGTCTAGGCGCCACAGTAGGATCCATACGTTAACGCAAGCTTGACGTGTTTCGAATTTGATTCGTAGGCGTAGGTTGGATTCAAAACGCAAGCGGGAGGAAACATAATTAGCATCATTACTAGTGCCCTTCCTGCACATTGCGGCGGGGAATATTTCGGGTACTATTGGTTTCCATTATAGAAAACATTTATCAGTTAGTAATTACTTGGATCCATCCATATGTTATGCAATCTTGTCTTGGTTCGAATTCGCACCCTTAGGTTAGATTCAAAATGCGGGCAGGAGGAAACATAAATACAAGCATCATTACTAGTGCCCTACCCGTGCATCGCTGTGGGGAATATTTTGGATACTATTGGTTTTCATATTTATAGAAAACATTTATCAGTTAGTAATTAGTTGTAACTTTGAGCATAAGTTCCGTGTAATTTCATCAAAAGTATTCTGTGTGGTACCAAGGAGTATGTAAATAGAAGTTCAAAAGAAAAGGAGTATGTAAATATTCCAAATCACTTGAACATATATTTAAGCCTGGAAAACTTTACTTTATTACATAATGTCCCATTTACATTGTTTTTCCTTTTACAAAAGATAAAAGTTAGGAAGCATGATAGTTTTAATATATTTTTTACAATAACACAACAACATGATGGCTCCTTAGCTATCTCCACCTGTACATGTTTTATGCCATCATCTCCAACTCCACAAACCGTCAGCGGTGGCCAATGTTTTGTTGCCTACGCTACCCTGTCATCAGTGCCACGAAGAATCCCATGGAATGCAAATCTAATAGTCATCCAGCGTTGTCCTGGTCTTACACTTGGTTTCTGCCGAAGCGCGCATTAAATCCCGCCAAGGTGCCATGCTTTCTTATGTCAGTTGAGTGAGCGACCAATTTTATTGGCTATTGGCAAGGAGACAAACTGCCAATGTGGCGCATACCTTACGGCGTGATTGGTCGTATCTTTCGCTAGTGTTCTTGCATGTGCACATGCATGTTAGTATTAGAAAGCGAATAAAGAAAGAAGGACTGAAATTAATAGTCATCGATGGACATCTATTATATGTATGCATGTAAGAATGGTTTACTGATTTTTGCAACCAGGAAATTAAAAAGCTTTTTAATTCCGTTGGTTTTGGGAATGTGAGAGCACATTATCGTTCTGCTCCACTGTTCCAAAGGACGCAACAGCGCAGCGGTGTTGCATCTTGCATGTCATGTTAGTATGTTACGGTTTTAAGTGCTTCTCTAGTCAATCCAACAGATGTTATTAAAAAGGCGAGTGGCATAACATGGTCACTGCATGTAATTTCAGAATAAAGAGAGATGTGCATGTAATATCCGGATTATCTGTTTCTTCGTACATTATGAACGAGATTTTGATTTGAGCAAACATAAGTGTGATGAGGATACAGTGCAGATACACGAAGGACTGTTATATAAATGTTAATCTTGTACTTACAAGAATGCTGATATGCATGTTGCTGATCTGGCAAACTCTCTGGTTTCTTCTGTAGTTATTGACTATCTGTTAATAATTTAAAATATGTTCCTCCTACTGAAGGTGAGAGGAGATGCTGTTGATAAAGAGTTGAACCTTCGCTGTACTGGTGCCTCATGTTCCATTCTCTTCTATGCCGCATGGTGTCCTTTCTCGAGCAAATTTCGACCAATATTTGAAGCTCTCAGCACCATGTTCCCTCAGATACATCACTTTGTTGTCGAAGAATCTTCTGCGACGCCTAGGTATCTGATTGTTGAAATCTTTTTTCTGTGCCTGAGTGATACATCCTGTCCCTTTTGTTTCCAACATGTTATTTGCCCAGTGAATTATTGCTCATCCTACCCCTTCTGCTGACTGCAGCTTGTTTTCAAGATATGGTGTCCGTGGCTTCCCAGCCATTCTTCTGGCAAATGAGACTACAATGGTTCGTTACAGGGGTACAAAAGATCTGAAGTCTCTGGTTCAGTTCTATCGAGAGACTACAGGTATGATCATTTCTTTGTTCTTTCATTTTGAATGTCATTACTTGAACATGCACACATGAGAATAGCTACTCCTCTGTTTCCTGCAGACATAGTTTATTTAATGGTAACAGGCTAACAGCTTGTTTTAAACATGCCTGCTTTTGAAACTTGGAACAATACTCAGAATTTTGTTCCAAATATTGGCCAGTTAATCAGCATCTTGGTCAGTTAATTGCTACTTGGTGGGTCACCGAATAGCCAATTAACTGATTTATTGGCTGATTAACTGGAAAATTCACCTATTTATCCCTACTCAGCACCCGACCAATATGGTACCAGTTATCGATACCTGAACATAATTAAAGATTGTGCATGGGGTTCTTTCGATTGAAAGTTCGCATTGTTTTTGCTTCTGATTGGTCTAGTGCTCATTTACATTGGAGACCGTGTGTGGCATGGTGGGGAATTAGCTGCGCTCTTGATTCCATGAATGATACTCTTGACCCCATACATCAGGATTGACATCTTGCTACAATTATCTACTTGTTGAAACGTTTTACTGTTGATGCCTGTGAATGTTCAACAACAGCATATTTGATTATTCCTGGGGCATTTTAGCATGCTCATAATAACCTGTCTTGATAGTATGGATTTTATTCCATTGTTCAATTGATTTAAAAATGGATATGCATATGTTGCACACTGCACTGCTACATCCATTGATGATAAGTCTGTTTGGTTGATTTTATCACTTCAAGCATTGAAGCAAGGTTTTTCTTGCTGCAGGCCTCGATCCAGTTACATATATTGATGTTGATCAGCAAGAGAGCGCTGGAAGCTTAGGATCAGTCATGCCAGGAGGCCGGTCTCTGCGCAAAATGGCGGAAGACGAGCCCTTTGTGTTTCTTGGAGCGCTTTTTATAATCATGAAGGTCGCGGCACACTTCGTACCCACTGTCATCTCTCAACTCAGAGCCTTCTTGATCGTGCGTGTTCAGAACTTGAACTTAAGAATTCGTAGGGGATCAAGCCAACTTATGGAACGGGCTTTGACTGTGCTTGATGTTAAGAGGCTTTGGAGCAAGCTTAGACTGAGCAGTAAGACAAGGGACCTAAGTAAAGGGGCGAGTAATGCTCGAGCTTGGGCTTCGTCATTTGCGTCCGTCTCACTGGGTGAACCATCCTCCTTACGGCATGCCTAGCCTTCTTTGCGATGCTGGTCGATAGTCTAGCTGCTGATATATGGCCCAAAATTGTTTGGTCTTGCTTCCCCATCCTGCTATGTATGTGCATCCACGCATGTGGGGACCCAGGAATGTAAATTTTCAGGATATCATCTTGTTGTATATAGGAACGCGTTTTCGCTTTGCTGACGCGATAGCTGATCTCTGATCTTTGTGTCAATTAACTCTTCGATGTATGCTGAGGATCTGAGCATTTTCTTTGATGTCTTTCGGTTAATGTTAGAATTTGGCTTCACTATGCCACCCTTCTCTGCACCAGCTTAAATCCTGGGCTGCCGGCTCCTGCTCTGAATTGTAAAACTGGCTTGATTTTTACACATACCATGCTGTCTGAAAGAAACAGAACAGTCATGTATCTGAATGGTTCTCATTTTCAAGTGAATTTGTTTCACTCCGAAGACCCATTTCATTTCCTTTTCTCCCAGTCACATTGTCCTGTGCACAGTTACCCATTGTTGTCTCGGGTTACAATCTCAACTTTTCTGAGTTATATTTCTGCAGAACCTTCTAAACACGCGTCTCGATCTCCTCTGCCCTCCGTGTTCAGCTGGTGTGTGTCTCTATCCATCTTTACTTCCCGTTGATTCCGTTTATCAGTTCATTTGTTTATGATCTGCCGCGTAATTACTTTGACCCTATCCATTATGTTACTTAGTGTGCAGTTCTCTCTGAAAGCATGCTTTTTATATGTATCTTGATTTTGAAGAGGACGTTCATCGGAATCCCTTTCGGATTCGGTGGCATTGACATCATGCCCTGACAGCAACTGGCGTGACATATTTGATTACAGTTTGCCTTGCCAAGTAAGATTGCCAAGTAACGCTGCGCTGGTGCTTGGGGTTATTTTAGAATTGTGGATGAGTTTGCCAGTCGGACGATTTGACTGCGCCGACATTATATCCTAAAGCTGTTCTATAATGATATTTTTCACCACCTCCTTGTATGAATCACTTTCTCATTGTAGATTGTTTGCAAGTATAATGATATTGCAGGAAAATACGGCAGCCGGAAAGAATTGAGTAGGAAAGAAGGAAGGGAGGAGCTAGTCCCCATTGGTAGGCCCGAAAGAACACTTTCAGCTTTGTCACTTAGCAGGAAGGCAAAGCACCTTAAATTGGTTTGCCATCTCCCTTGGTGCAACATGTACTAGTTCCCACTACCCCTTCTAGCTTCTTCAGGTGCTGTTCCCCTCCAGAGAAAGAAGAAAGTATCCTTCCAAGCCACCACTTGCTTTGATTCTTGGGGAGCATCCATTCCATAGCATCCTCATAGCCGCCTGCAAGCAGATCTGAGCAGCTATAATAACTCCCTGATCGGATCCGCTCTCGTTCCTTGCGCTGATTTGCGATGACCGGAGGGGATTCCATGGATGCAATCAGCCTGGATGACTGGGAGCTCCTGCCTGACCTCGGGAGCTCCTTCTTCCTGGAGGAGTGCGCTGCTGGTGGTGGTGGTAAGGATCAGGATCAGCTCTTGTTTGGGTCCGGTTTGGTCGTGATCGACATGGGTCACTTCACCCTCCACCCTGCATCTCACCCCTCTACCTATGATTGCATCCTAGATGAAGAAGATGCCATGGGACCATCAGCGCAAGCTGCCTCTGCACGGCAGCAGCATGATGTCGAGTTCGAGGACATCGGCGTCGTGCAGGCCGAGCCGAGGCAAGGGGAGCTCGCGATGATGGTGACCGAGGTGATGGTCTCCGGTGCAGAAGAGGAGGAAGAGATGGTGAACTCCCCTGTTGCCGAAGAGGAAGCTGGTGAGGAGGACGAGGTGATGGTGGAAGCAGCACCTGATCATCTACCCCATGAGGTGGAAGAAGGTGCGGAGAGAGACAGGGCAGGGATGGACGCTGCTGGCTTCAGCGTCGGGAAACTGAGGGTGAACGGCGTCGGGGCGCTCTGCTCCTTCGGGGTCGCCGCTGCCACCTTCTGCATCCTGGTGCTTGGCGGCAGGCCGCAGCAGCAGAGGAAGGTGCAGGACCACAAGTCCCAGTTCCAGGTGTTCGCCGATGATGAGGTCGATCACTCTTTCCTTCTGTTCGTGAACTAAATTTCTTCACTTCTACTGATTGATCTTCTCTTTGTTCCCTAAAGGCATGCTCTAGCAAATTACTGCTATAGTTTTTAAACATCATTTATTATACTTGGGTCCAAAAAAGAAAAGGAAAAAACATTGGATGAGTTCAGCAACTCTGCATCATGATGATGATGCTTCTTTTTAAAGATTAGAATCTTCTTTCTATAGACTATTGAAGAGGAAAGGGTGAAAATGACCCACTGCTCCTGATGATCTGATTTCCTTTATAGCTGGTTCTTGGAATCTTGCAATAGATTAGCCTAAAGCACGGGGGAATTTCATTTTTTTTGCGAAAAACTTCTAATCTATTCATCTTCAATCATGGCAGTACAACGAACACCAGAAATAAAAATTACATCCAGATCCGTAGACCATCTAGCAACGACTACAAGCACTGAAGCGAGCCGAAGGCGCGCCGCCGTCATCACCCCTCCATCGCCGGAGTCGGGCACAACTTGTTGTAGTAGACAGTCGGGAAGTCGTCGTGCTAAGGCCCCATAGGACCAGCGCACCAGAACAGCAACCGCCGCCGAAGAAGAATAACGTAGGTTGGAAGGATTCAACCCGAAGACACACAAACGTAGACGAACAACGACGAGATCCGAGCAAATCCACCAAAGATAGATCCGCCGGAGACACACCTCCACACGCCCACCAACGATGCTAGATGCATCGCCGGAACGGGGGCTAGGCGGGGAGACCTTTATTCCATCTTCAGGGAGCCGCCGCCGTCTCGCCTTCCTGAGCATGACACAAACCCTAACAAGACAGGAAAAAACGACTGAAAACGGAGCCCTCCCGCCGGCCCTTGGCAGAATCCACCGCGCCCCCATGGCCCTAGGGCCACCGGAGACGAGGCGGATCTGCGGCGGCGCCGGCGAGAGGCAGAAACCCTAGCTTTATTTTTTTGGAGGAGGAGCGACTTTGGAATCACGGGGGAATTTCATTTAGGGGTGAAAAAAATGGCCTGGTGTTTTCTGACAGTTTTGCTTGTGTTTGATCTGCTGCAGAGGATCCATCGTGCCGTGGAGCAGGCGTCCAGGCTGAACCAGGCCGTGTCGTCGGTCATGGGGGGCGCGTCCACCAGGGGGGCGACGGTGTCGTTCGGCGGCCACTACACCGGGTTTTGACGTGCTACGAGAAGCTTCTAGAATCCGTCGACGCATCCACGATCTAATAGTATTAGACATATTGATTGATATTGAGATTCTTTATTTACAAACATTGGCCAGGGCCCCGTAGCCTGCACGCATGTACATATGCTTCTACTCAGCTGGTACGTAGTAGATAGCATGAGTCCACTGTCATGTACATTTCCTACCAGCAGACGTGAATATTATTCTGGGTTTGATTTTCTCCGCGAAATTACTTCGCCTTCCCCTCCGATTATCGTACTGTACGACGAGGCAATGGATGGTGAGGATGCTCTGTGGAAATGCAACCAACGGCTCGTGTTTTTTTATGCGATGACAAAGAGGATTCAAACGCACGTCACTGGAACGCACGCGGTAACCACGCGCTGGAACTGACCGCAGCTGCAGATACTACTTGGAAGCCACCGCCGGGCCACTTGGCCCGCCGGCCGAGTGTCCGTTCACTGAATCCGGCCGGCGTGCGCGACCGTCGGTTCGTCGGCTAGCGGTGCGGCGAGACACCCTGACATGGACGTTGATTCCTTACCTTTCCTCCTGTTCCCGCGGGGCAGGCAACGGCATATGCAGTTGCCCGGAGGTCCCGTCGCTTCGCCGTGCGCTGGATCGTCTGGCCCGGCACGTCGCTGTATCTGACTGGCGATTTTGCTTCCTCTCTCACATGATCAAACTTGTCCGGAAGAACACGTCGAGATTCAGTCGTCTACGGGGGTTAAAAATCTGGCGTCGACATCGGATGATGGGAAGAGGCCGGGCCGTGCCGGAGCTCTGCTCTGTGACAGCGATGCACATACATCCGGAGGAAGGGAAGGACGACGGGTGATTTGTTTCTGTCCAGGGAAGAATCCAGGAAGGCGGGTTTGAGTGACAGTGCTGCTCGTCTGATGCCGACAGGTTTTCTTTTTTTGAGCAACTGCCGACGGTCTCTGATTGGCACTCCCTGGCCCCAAGAGGCTAAATTTCCTGTTTTGACCCTTTTCTAGAAGTTATTCGAGATCTGATCCTAGTTTAGAAAATTTTTGTGATTTGACCTTTTTTTCTACTGCCATTGATTCTGGCGGTAAGGTTTAACTACCTACCGCCAGGATATCTGGCGGCAGAATTTGACAACGCCGTAATGCTCGTTTAACGTGGAAAATACCCTATCGTTAGGGTTCTTAGTGGTAGCCTATTATATCCTATCGCCAAGGACATTGACAGTAGTGTCGTAAAACAAAATCCTGCGCTGCTCCCCTCGAATAGAAAGATGAGGGCGCTGCATGTGGGCTCCCCTCAGTTAAAAAGTACTCTCTCCGTCCCATAATATAAGAACATTTTTATATTGTGAGATGGAGGGAGTACTAAAAACAACAGCTAATGATGTGTGCGCTGCATGTGGGCTGCTGTGGGCTACTGTGTGCTACTGTGTGCATGCATTAGATGGATGAATGGATGCGCTGCGTGCATGCATGCATGGATGGATGCGCTGCATGGAGTGCTCTGAATGCATCGGGCCCTGTGTACATGCATGCATGGATGGATGTGCTGCATGCATGAGATAGAGAGATGGGAGCCCGATCCATCATAGGAATAGCCTACCGCCAAACTCTTTGGTAGGGTTGCACAACTTATTATCAAAGGCTTTGGCGGTAGGGTATTTTTCATGTTAAACGGAGTGACAACACAGTCAGGTCCTCCTGTCAATGACTCTGACGGTAGGCAGTTATACCCTACTGTCATCAACACTGG